GGTGTATTGGGTATTTTGGACGTTTGACCCAAAGGGTGTATGATCCGATGAACTGGACGTCGGACCCCAATGTATTGCGGTTATCGCACCGCCCCACTGCCTTGCGGGTCGGACTTCAATGGCCGAAGGCTTCGGTTGTGAATTCCCCTAGAAAATTCACCTGCTCTGACTTGGGCAACCTAGCAGTATTTTGCCCACATGCAAATCACTGACCCTTTTTTGATTTAAAAAGTCTGAGCTCAGACTTAAAAATAAAACAAAATATCTGCCTGCCGATTCCCGTTTCTCTAGCCCACGCAAGAGCAATCAAATCCCAGCTGAACTCTAGTGTCACACCTGCTGCAGTCACTTGATAGTAAGCCCTCCTCTAGTGCCTATATTCTGGTTTCGATGACCACAGGACGTTGCAGTTATGGCAAGAGCTGACGAAGTTAACAGATTAACGTGAAAGCACCAGACAGGTCAGTAGCCCAATGCCGGCAGTTAGCTGGAATGAATTTATCCGTATGTGCGTACTCCGTTATGATATTCTACTGGTCTCGGCCTTTCCGTTGGTTGCGTGTGAACCAATTTCGATTCAATCATCAATCTTTGGACGTCCGTTTTCATGTGTTGATTTTATCGATCATATCTTTAATTCTGAGTCAAATTTAATAACTAAACGTTGATTATTGTAGCATAACTAAATAATCTACTTGCAATTGTAAAGTAGCTATTGTTAATCTAGAAAATTCTTCCACATCCGGGTACCCTCCACGTCCGATTGATACTACTCGCTGTGGCATGCAATCTGCTTGATTGATTTCTTTCTGGATGTGCGTCCATTAATTTTCGAGAAAATAAATTGGACTCCAAATCGAACGGTCTTTGCTACTATCTCGCGTCACAACTAGGTGTATTGTGTGCATAACTGAGACAATTCTACTTCCCCCTGCTCTTCCCTGAGTAAAGAAAACACTGCAATTACTAGATGTTTGCCTCACATCTCCAGTGAACAGATTTCTGTAAAGTGAAACCGAAAAAATGGAGCTCAGACGAGTAAGCTGTTATCCAACCGTCGCCCTGGTGCAAAAATGATGACGAAGTATACGGATCGGGTCAGGGGCACGAAGCGCAGATAGTGGGAAGTGAAGACCAAACGCACGGTCAGACCTTTTCGCAGTCATGTATAAGCGCAAACTTACCTACTTACTTTGCTTTAAAGGCGGCGGGCTCCTGAGAGAGGATAAGCCGGCTTCATATAAATCTCCCGATGTACTGCTGCCTACGCTTGGTGGTCTGCGGCAAGATCAACGCAGATTGTGATCCAGCTTGACTTCCATTGACGATTGTCTTAGACGGAGCGGAGATCAAGCTTTTCTGTATCCTTCAGTACAGTGTCCAGCCAGGATTTTCAGCTGCCCACCCTGTCGACAGCACCAGTTCGATCAAGGAGGTGGTGCCAAGGCAGATTTGGTCAGGTCGTTATCAGACCTTCCGAGTTCGTGAACAAACCATTGTAGTCATCTCCGTTGCACTAGCGTCTGCAGCCGTTTCTGACCGCTTCATTTGAGTGCTTAACCCTACATCGAACTCCCAGAATGATTCGTAGGTATCAGTGA